TAGAGTCGCCTCTTGTATTGTTGGAAAAGAGTGTTTGTGATGACCAGCTTGTTCTCTTGACAAAACTTTTATTAGCCTTTGCCTTGCTTCATTTTGAACTCCAAGGCCAAACGTACCTGTTGTTCCTTTTATCTCTTGACTCCCTACTTTAGCATTCCAGTCCCATATAATGACAAAAACATCTTTCTTTGGTGTCAGTTCTAGAAGGTGTTGTAAGTCTTCATGGAATTGGTCAACTTCAGCCTCTTCAGCATCGCTGATCGTGCATAAATTTGGGTTACTGTGATGCTGAAAGGTCTGTCTTGGATTTGTATTGAAATCATTCTATCATTTTTGAGATTGTATCCCAGTACAGCTTTTCCCACTCTTTTGTTGACTATGAGGGCTACTCCATTACGTTTACGGGATTCTTGCCCACAGTAGTAGATATGAGAATCGTCTGAATTGAATTCACCCATTGCCATCCATTTTAGTTCACTGATGCCCAGGATGTCAATGTTTATCCTTGCCATCTCCTCTTTGACCACATCCAGCTTACCAAGGTTCATAGATCTTACATTCCAGATTCCTATGCAATATTTTTCTTTGCATTATTGGACTTTCCTTTCACTTCCAGGCGCGTCCGCAGCTGAGCATCCTTTCAGCTTTGGCCCACCCACTTCATTAGCTCTGGAGCTACTTGTACTTGTCCTCCACTCTTCCTCAGTAGCATGTTGGATGCCTTCCGACCTGAGGGGCTCATCTTCCAGGGTCATATCTTTTAGCCTTTTGTTTCTGTTCATAGAGTTTTCTTGGCAAAGATACTGGAGTGGCTTGTCAGTTCCTGCTCCAGGTGGATTGTGTTTAGCCCGAACTCTCCACTATGATCTGTCCGTCTTGGGTGTCCCTTCATGGCATAGCCCATAGCTTCTCTGAATTACTCAAGCCCCTTCGCCACGACAAGGCAGCAATCCATGAAGGGGATTGTTCAGTAATCCTTGACTAATTTGCAAGATTTGTTTGAACCTGCAGAGTCTTCCACATGGAAAAGGGGTTTGTCAAATAAAAAACTGAGCTGAAACCTATGCCTGTTATTCAGAAAGGTGTGTGTTTACCATTGTGTGTTACTAGCACAAAGCAGGGGGGAGGGCCAGTGTTTGCTTGTCTCTGTAGCGGCTCATACTTCCAGGACTCCAGAAGAGGGAGCTGAAATACTGCCTTATGTAAACAGAATACAACAAAGTAGTTTTTGTATCCTATCCACTACATTGAAAAAGAAAAAACATTTTTGAAGGTTGTTTGCATGTTTGCATGTTTCCTGTTCATCGATAGATTCCTGTTCTGTAGTCCCAGTTTCTGGTACATCACCCACACTCTTTCTTTCAAGACTTGTTGTCCTTTGGAATACTGTCTCCCTCCCTGGCAGGATTCCATTTAAAGCCCCCATGACCTGGTTACAAGACTCCTGGAAAATGCATTTTTCTTAACCTAGTAAGGTGCAACCTGTCAGTTGTCCAGAATTCTCCAGAGAAGTTCAGGACATGGCTCAAGAAGCCAAGGTGTTCATGATTACACAACTAGTTGTTCATTTCCTATATTCTTTTTTCTCTTCCTGGGCCATGACTTCCAATTTGAAGTTGCAAGGGCAAAAAAACAGACACATTTCCTCCATAGTCCTTCTCTTTCCTACCTTTTAGTCATTTGCAATATGTGGAGGGATGTGTCTAGCAACCTCATTGGTTCCCACATGGGTCAGAGGAAAGAAATGATTATGTGGCTTGATGAATCTTGGCAAGTTCTCTGTCATGTCCTGAATGTTAGCACCACAGAGACAACACACCTCTAAGATGCCCTGTCAGATCTTAAAACAACTATTACCTCAATAAAGACTTATTTACCAATACCACATGTCTTCTCATCTGAAAATGACAGGAATTCTTGCATCCATAGAATCCCTCACAGTTACTTCATGCTCTCTTCTGTTTGCTGTCCCTATTCCAGCAGCTCCGAGTCACTCTGCATGAGTAATGCTGCCCTTATTGATTGATTTGATTTTTATACTGCCCATCTGGCTACCAAGGCCCTTATTACAGTCATTGTCCAGGTATCTCGAGCTCAGGCCATAGAAGCCTTTAACAGTCTAAAAAACACTTCAGTGGATACAACTGCAGACTGGTAGCCAAGGAATATCTCTCAAGACTTGTGAAATTGTATGAACTTCAGATATGTCTGTTTCTTCATCATATATGATGGTCCTCAAGGTTTATGTAGCTAGGATATGATTTATTTTCCATAAAATCTGAGTTGTAAGGTGGAATATAACTCTGCTTTTCTAATGATCCTAGGCAGAATAATATTTTTATTGCAATAGTCCTATTGGTACATATAGGAAGCTAGCTTATATGGAAATGAACACCACCTAGACAAGCTTGGCTGTTTTTACTGGTGGAAGTTATATAGGACTTCAGAAAGAATCTTTTGCAACCTGACTTGCAAAGGGCTGGCAGACGTCCTAGTTAATTTTCTTTATAATAGTTCAATTGATAGGATCACAGTAAAGTATTCCATTCCAAGTACGTATCTTGTTTAGTCACCATAATCCGAGGTAGTATTCTATGTTAATGTAAAGTTGACAACCTGTATCTTAGTACTGAATTTTTCCTAACAAGGTGAACATTGGAGAAGACTTGTGCTACACTAGTCTTAGTTAAAGATGGCTAATACTGGTTATGCTTACCCTCTCAAATTATTGACTAAGCAAAGGATTTTCCCAGTGCAAAATCAAATTTCCAGTGATTTTAAAACTTGTATAGAACCATAACTATTCTTTTTTTCACTCATAGCAATTAGAAGAGAAAAGTGAAGATGAAGAAGACAAAGAATGTTTGAAACAAGCAATTACAGCCCTGCTTAATCTTCAGAGTAGTATGGAAAGGATATGCTCCAGAAGTCTTGCAAAGAGAAGGCTTAGGTAAACACATTTCCGCTTTCCCCACTGCTTTTAGCCCTGGACTGCTGTGCTATAAATTCAGGCTTTCCAGTTTCCTCTTTCAGTAAACAATGGACAAAGTAGTTTGTGGCAAGCCTACTTGTTCAGAGGAAGTGACATCAAAGTCCAGATAGCTATTGTTTCAAAGTTCTCCAATGTGTGTGTGTCCTTCACACTTCTAGTGAATGCATCTTGAGAATCTACTGGTAAGCAGAAAGAAAAATACCGTTTCGTTAGATGTTAGAGACAAAAATATCTTATAGATCTATTTTAAATAGCTAACAGATTTTCATGTATGTTTATGATGCAGCAACTGGTGCAATGTATGTTGTTACTAAAGTAAATAAGAATAAAATGTTGGGTGTTCATAGTCTTTGTTGGTTTACAAAGGATTAGTTGTCATTCTGCAGTGTACTCCGAATTAGTTGGCTAGCTGGAGTTCTGTGTTAATTTTTCAAATACACACCTAATGATGGTCATAGGATGTAATGATCTGAAATATTTGTATTTAGCTAAAACTAGCCCATTACATTCTTGTCTTGTGTATTAGTTCTTTGCTTAGTTGTTGGCACAAGAATAATACATTTTTAGCTTTTCCCACTAGTATATATAGTTCTTGCTGTTATTGTGCATGTGGTTGCTACTTTATTCACAGTGTTCTCTTGCTCTTTTGAAGTGAATCTGCCTGCCGATTCTACAGCCAACAGATGAAGGGGAAGCAGCTGGCATTCAAGAAAATGAATGAAATCCAAAAGAACATTGATGGCTGGGAGGGTAAAGATATCGGACAGTGCTGCAATGAATTTATAATGGAGGGGACCCTCACACGTGTAGGTGCCAAGCATGAAAGACATATATTTCTATTTGATGGGCTAATGATTTGCTGTAAGTCAAATCATGGGCAGCCAAGACTGCCTGGTGCTAGCAATGCTGAATATCGTCTGAAGGAAAAGTTCTTCATGCGAAAGGTACAGATCAATGATAAAGATGACACTAACGAGTACAAGCATGCTTTCGAAATTATTGTAAAAGATGAGAACAGTGTTATTTTTGCTGCTAAATCAGCTGAAGAGAAGAACAACTGGATGGCAGCCCTGATCTCTTTACAGTACAGAAGTACTTTGGAGCGAATGTTAGATGTAACAATGTTACAGGAAGAGAAAGAGGAGCAAATGAGATTCCCAAGCCCTGAAGTTTATAGGTTTGCTGAACCTGATTCCGAAGAGAATATTGTTTTTGAAGAGAACATGCAGCCCAAATCTGGAATACCTATTATCAAGGCAGGAACAGTTGTCAAACTGATCGAGAGACTTACATATCACATGTATGCTGGTAAGGAATCCTTTCAAATCTTACCTAAATTCTTTTTTTGCTGTTTTCTATATATTCAGACAAGGGAGATGACATGGATGCATAGTGCTAGGGTCTGTGATCTTAAATGGCATCTTAAAAAAATTTTATGATAGTGTATAACCTAGGATTATAAAGTTAATCAACCTTTTAAATTGTAGCTGCTGAGTAATAACAGTTCTGCCTCTGTTTTTCCATAGATGCTGCATGATTTAACCCCAAATTAAAGAATAAAGCATTGTCTGTTTATCATTCATTAACAGGCCAGTAGTGAAATATGCAGTTTTTTAGGAAGTATGCGCAGTTGAAAGTAGCTTGTGTAAGTTGTGCTTGTAAATATCCAGAAGCATAATAGGTAGTGTGGATTCATTTATCATACCTATAACATTCAGCAGCTGTAAAATGCTATATCACTTACACAAACACCATGCTTTCAGTTATTGTTATTTGCTGTCAAGTCACCTTCAACTTATGGCAACCCTGTGAATGAGAAATCTCCAAAATGTCCTGTCCTCAACTCAACCTGAGGCTTCCTTTAGGGAGTCAAACTGTCTCATATTTGGTCTTCCTCTTTTTTTTGCTACCTTCAAACTTTCCCAGCGTTATTGTCTTTCCTAGAGAATTCTGCCTTCTCATGATGTTCTGAAAGTAGCGGAGCCTCATGCCATGTTTCCCCGAAAATAAGACAGGGTCTTATATTAATTTTTTGCTCCAAAAAATGCATTAGGGCTTATTTTCAGGGGTTGTTTTTTTTATGTACAACTATCTACTTTTATTCAAATACAGTCATGCCATCTTCTTCTGGTTGCTGCACAAGGGTGGAGGGCAGGGTTTCACTTCACTGGGACTTATTTTTGCGGTAGGGCTTATAGTAGGAGCATCCTGAAAAATCATACTAGGGCTTATTTTCAGGTTAGGTCTTATTTTCGGGAAAGCAGTGTACTTAAAGTTAAGTCCTATTGTACTTAAAGGGAAGATATATATATAGTTTTACACTTGTGCATTCCTCTGCATATATTTTCAGTGTGAGATAAACTATGTCATCAAGAGATTGTGTTTATGTAAAGGCAGTGATGCATAAAATGTGGCTCTAGGGGCACCCAGACTTACTGTAGTACCAGGCTCTCCTCCACTCCAAGCTCAATCTGTTTTTGTTTTTGTTTTTTAAAAAAGAATAAAATTGCAAGAATGTGTTACTAGGTCAGTCAGCATGAAAAATTATTTAATTTTCAAAACTGGAAGTAGACTTCTCACCATTTATGCTTTTATTTTTGTCGTTTGTCATTTTAAGTAGTCTTTGTGGCCCCCAGTAGGTGCCCACAGGGCAAAAAACTGGCCCCCAGATCAACCAACCTGATGGTTTGATATTATTTAAGGGGACAAATGTGGCAACCTAAAAACATACCAATAAATGCCAAAAGTGTGCATAATTTGAGCCAGGAATTTTTACTATCAATTGCATACTAAATGTAACATGCTGGAATCAATTACTTTTGGAACAGACTCTACACTAAGAATTTAGAGTCTATGTTGTCTAAATTCTTCTTCAAGAAAAACATTGTTTTTACAGCCTGGTACAGTGTACCAAATTATATAAATTATATTTTGGAGTAAATGTGTGTAATTTACTTGATTTTTCATAGGGACTGGAAAGTATTTTTAAGCCAATCCCAGTCACCTGAATAACAGTTGCTCTAACTTCTGAAACTGAAAAAATGTTTGCCAGCATTGTTTCATTTTTTTTAGCTGCAGTGTTCAAGATTTAGGAGAAAGTAGCTAGTTTTTCAGTTGTTTTCACATGTTTTTTTCCCTTAAAAAGAAAACTTCCATGTACAATTGCTGATAGATTTGAATAGCAATGCTTTTCATGGCTTGTTTTTCAATTTGTTTTTGCCTGTTTCATGTTTCTGTCCGTTTTTCTGTGTCTTGAGCCTTATATCATACTTGTGGGAAAACAAAGCTAGGACAGCTTGAAAATATTGAATGTTTTTGTTACATTCTCGTATATCAATGGATGAGGAAGGAAGTTAGTATTTTGTGAGGATACTTCCTCTTTGGAGATGTTATAGCACCAAAGTCTGTTTTGTGCAGGTAATATAAACAGATTAATTGTATATAAAATATTGACCTCAGAAGAGTTATTTTCCATGTCATGTTTACATCATGCATGTAAGCTTTGTGCCTCTGCTACACAACATTCAGAAATCTTCCAAACCCAAGCAATCTGAGGAAAATGTCTAGGAACTTTCAAAAGGGATTATTGGTGCTGCTTTGGGTACATATAGCATGTTTGTGTTGTGGTTTTCTCTGTGCTCTTTAATGAAGATATGTGCCCTCAGAGAAGCTTTTCCCATCTTGCCTTCATGTGCTATGCTGTGTAAAAGCAGGTATTAGAGAAGTGGCCGTGTAGATACTTCTTCTTGACTCAGAATATGAATGAAAGGCAGATCTCTTCCTGATGCTTGAGAATAAACTTTCCTTCTTTTTGTATTTTGATATGGACACATTATCATTTTTTGCAGTTTTGTTAATGTGAACTGTAAATTACAGAATATAAGCAAGCATATTATGGGTTGTTGTGGGTTTTCCAGGCTGTTTGACCATGTTCTGAAGGTTTTTCTTCCTAACGTTTCACCAGCCTCTGTGGCCAGCATCTTCAGAGGACAGGAGAGAGAACTCTGTCTGTGCTCTGCATATTATTGATAATTTAATATAGTTCACTGTCAGAATGTGGTTTTCTTGTTTAAACTTTGAAGTTTTATCAGCACTGAGCTCAACATTGGTATCAAAGGCATTTAGCAAAGACCCTAAAAAGAGAAAAGAAGTGGTTAAACAAAAGAAGCCTAAGCATTCCATGTCAGTCCTGCATACTGAACCTTCTCTGGTTTGAGTAACCCTGCCCTCAACTATATTAGAAGAGCCTTCTAGGGAAACACAAGTCTTGACTTCAGAGGGCTTTCGGCCACAGCCACAAACTCAGGTGTCGGTATCGGTCCCAAGCCTATCTCCGACACAAGGCCATTTTGAGGCTGAGATTATTTCCAGCCCGGCCTCGGCCGATTTGAGCCCTGTGACGGACAGCTCACACGTCACTCCTGTCCGTCAGGTTAGAGCTCTGGTGTGGGAGCCTACGAGAGGACAGGAGGGGTGGAACCAACGGAACTATAGGGGGAAAAAGACAGTTAGGACAGTTGGAGAGTTATAGAGAAGAAGAGAGAGAGATATAGAGGGACAGACGGGTTAGGATTAGGTCAAGGACTTGGAAAGCTGGTATACAGTATTTGAGAACTGGAGTTAAAAGTAATAAGAAATAAAATAAACTGTTTGAATATTGTACATTCAAGTTTAAGTTTATTTTATTAGCTAAAAGCCGTCACAATTGTTTAAAATACAAATATAATCAAATAAAATCACAGACATATAAAATAATAAGAGACCATTCATATGTGGGAGTCTCCCACACAATTGATCACAATAGCTCTCAGGAAAATAGCACAAATGTTTCTGGCTGTTTTTGCAAACAGCACTGTTCTGTACGTAATATTTGGGTCACAATCCAAAAGTAACCTGACCACCTTTGTCTGAGGGCTTTCCTCCTGTAGAGCAGCCAAAATGTTACCCAGGAATTTTTCTCTGGGGTTTTGATAGAGCTGACAGTTAAGTAAATAGTGGACAACATCCTCTGTCTCACCTGCTCCACAAATACATAGCCTTAGATGATTTAGGACATTCATGTTCCTTCCGTCTAAGACAGCGGTTGGCATGGTTTGGTAACGGAGTTCTGTGAATGCAGTTCTCAAGGAGGGAAAAGTAAGTGTATGTAAGTATTGCATCCTTGAGTGGTTTGTTTTCAGCGGATGGTACCAGTGAGAGAAATTTGAAGAGTGGATTAAGGATAAGTCCTGGTCAGTATCCGGTATGTGAAGCCAGTCCCTCAACATTCTTTTAACCCCAGAAAAAAACAAAAATAGCTGTAGAGAGGGATTTAGATTTTAGTAGGGTTTGAACTGAAGTTGCCCAGCCACCACTCTTCCATTGCTCTACCATACAAAGTTTAGGTAGATGTAACACTGTGATTAAAGTGAATCTATATAAGTAAATACTGTATATCTAAAGTCCAAAGCACGTTTAATGAATGAATAATACAAGGCCATCCATGATTTTCCTTATGTGATTTACCTATTAACCTATAAGTAAAGATCATTATATTTGACAGCATTAATCCATTATTCATATTTGGTACAGCGAGGAGAATATCCTCTGGTGGCAATATAAAAAGGAAGAAAAGAAAATGTCAGGCCCAAAGGCGAACCTGGGTGTTAGGGTAAACAAACGGGAGCTGGGTGTGTGTGACATAAAGTGGCAGCTTAGCAGTGGGATTCGAAGTGAAAGAAAGCTAGTAAGCCAAAGTAAAGAGAAATTTTCTGATTCTGGGATTCAAAGTGGTGAATGCCAGGGAGCCAAAAGAAAAGAACTTCTCTGAATCTGAGAAACCTGGTTGTCAATAGTCAAGGTGAAGGAGTGGGAACCCTAGAGCGTGGTGAATAGCTTGAAAGGGACTCCAGAACACAGACTTTTGGAAAGACTGAGGCAGGGAAAAGTCTCTGAGGAGATTTCTGTGGTTAAAAAGTTACCTCACGCTTAGAGTGTAAGGACCAAGGGGGCTAGCTTTAGATCTGGAAGCTCTGAGAAAGGGAGCGCTGAGGAGACAAAAAAGGACGTCAAGGTCTAAAGGAATATCTGAGGTGAATAAAAAGAAAGAGGCTTACAAGAAAATAAATATTTCTGGAAAAACTGGGTTTCTGGAGGCTAAAAGAAACAGTTTTTCAGACACAAGGAACAGCCCGGCTAGGTGCCTAAGGTAACAAAGTAGCAATCTGTGGCTGTCATGGGAAAGCTACAAAGTATCAAATCTAACACTGAAAAGGAAAAAAAAGTACTGTCCTTTTAAAATAGAGCTTGCCTGTCTTTCTGTGAGAAAA